CACCACACTTTGGAGAGCTATCAGAAGCAAGCTTGTTTAAAATTAGTTTGGATATCTGAGCATTATAAAGCAGTCATTTATGTAGCTGCAGTGTAGACATGCCTTTGGGTTTATGAATGCTTTGTGAGGGTGGAGCAGAGCAGAAGCTAGAGTCTCTGGCCAACTACGAGTCTGCTTTGTCATATATCTCGTTGTTATTGCTTAGTTTATATGTTTTTGAAACAGGGTATGTATGGGCTTTGTTGTTATCTGTCATTACACTTTGTGGCTTGATTATGAAATGTCTAGCAGCTAAAATTCCAAGTCTAGCCTTAATTTCCACTGTAATATTTAATAATTTGAGCAGTCAGTAGGGATGGAAGATTTTTTTCAGGGTTTGGAAGCCTTTCATGTCATGATTATCACGTAATTGTTTTGAAAGAGAGGATACAATTTTTTTGAAGCATGTGAGACCATAGAAAAACCTTAGACAAAATAAAAAGGTATTATTATTTGTGTTTAAAAAGGTGTAATACACAGTAGCTGTAGGAAAAAAGGAAAACCAATGTTTCATGAATCTGACTGATAGCCTTCATTAGAGCAGAAAGAAGATCTCTGGTTTAAAATAAAAAATCCTGTCATATCTATAGAGAATGGAGCTGTTTGGGACAATGTTAAGCTTTTTGTAGGTAGTTCAGCAGTTCAGTTGTAGTGTTACTACCTCAGTATTGAGACCAACTTAAATTGGGGTCAAATCCCTCAGCCTTATGGACGTTTTGATAAATAAGCCCATTCTTTTTCTGTCTTGAGTTCAAAATGAGATGGAATTTGATTCGTATTTTCCAAAACTAAAATAAGACTTATTACATTCTCAAACTTGAGTAGGTGGTAGGCCTTCAGATAATTAGGGCCTTTTTCAACCTTTTTTCATACCCATTAGGTATATTTTCCACCTTTAGGTATTGCTGTGTTCAGATAATCTGTCAATTTAACCAAAGCAACAATTTCACAATGTAGTTTTCTTTCTGATTGTGTGCTGTGTAATCAATATACTGATATAATGTGAGTGTAATTTCCTCTCTTATTTTATCTCCACTGCACAGTATTATAAATAAACAGCTAAAAAAGAAAAAAGAAAGAAAAGCACCAAACAAATCTGTTGCATCTTCTTTTAAGATTGTACCACTGTAGACACTTGTTCTAGTAAAGTAGAATTGGACCCACTTGATTGCATTTAAATTTTTCATGCTTCAGCAGTTTGTCTGGGAGCACAGTAAAGAAAACCCCCCGAGCGAGGATAGTTTAGAATAATAGAACTTGATTTTGTGTATTATAGCGGCACCATTTGCGCTGCTGTAGTTAGGGTTGTGTCAGCACTTCCATTATAAACCCCTGTTTGCAGGGGTTATAACTAGGGAGATATTTTTTATCAGAAACTTTTTTTTTTAAAATCATCCAAGTGAGTTTAATTGATAATAGGAGAAATAAAATAAATTATAACGGGAATTAGTAAATTTCTGATAGCTTTTACAAGCCTTATTTATTATGAATATTGATTTTTTTCCCCCTCTCAGCAGGGATTTTAGCAAATGCGTTTTGAATGTTTTAAACATAAAATTGGGAAGTTGTTATGGCTTAAAATTTGACTGCTATTCATGCACATATTTTAACATTAAAATATTTTAACACAACATGCTGTTCTATGGTTTAATTTTATCATAAACATAAACTACTCAAATGAGCCAGATTCTCCTCCTTTTGAATTGGATGAGACCTTAGAGTTATCGTCTGAACTCTGCTTTTTGACGTGATGGAGTTACGTGTGCAGAATTCTCCCATTTAGGCATAAAACAATTAAACCTGGTAACAAGGTAACGAGTCAAACTTGCATGAAGGAGTTGCCTGGATAACACCCAGGTGCAAGAGTTTAAATTTACTCTGCTTTACTGATTGCAAACCTGGGCATAATCAATGTTTGGTGCATAACCAGGCACCCTCAGAAGACATGTAAGGATGAGTTATATTCGTTGAGTCAATGATTGTGCTGGGAAAGGAAGGTTAATCTAGCAGGGCCCTCCACCTCTATCCCTTTTGACCCAAAGTTTTAAATGTAACAACCAAAAAACTGAAACCTACCATTAAACCTAGTTGCTTTGACAGAAAATAGAAGGGAAACACACCCCTAAAAATTATGTCATGAGGAGAGCAAGTGCCTGGGAGGCCTGCCTGAGCCTGTCTTCCTTTTCAGGCTCCAGAACTATAGGTAACTGAGTGAAGTGCAGCATGGAACGTGTCTGACCATAATGCAGCAGTGGGGAGAACGAGTAGGTGGAGCTAGGAGGCATTTGAACCCCACCCTCGGTCTGTTTTACTCGAGTACAGAAAAATGTTGCTGGGCATGGCTTGAGATTATTAGTGAATGGGAGTTTGCTGATATAATTTTACTTTTAATATTAACAAAGTACCTTTTCTCTATGTAATCAGAACTTGAATAGAGATTTTTATTGAATCGTGTTTAAAACCTCTTGGATAACAGCAAAGTGTATTAGTGTACATTGCAAAGAAAAAGTGCTTCCCCTATAGTGTGTTACCAGTAGATAGCTTTACTGAATGGTCACTTGAGGAAACACCAAAAGCCTGTTTATGAAATAGAGGTGAAGCCTTTCTAGACTAATTATATTCAGCATGTAATTTCTAAACTTCAGTCTGAATTTTGATTTTCAATTAACATTCCCAATTTGAAGATAATTTTCTATTTAATGTAATTGCAGGAAATAATTTATTGGCTGATTAAGACTGAGGGCCCAGCCTTCCTTAAGAAAACAGTCCCTAACAAACCAGCCTTTAAAGCCAACTCGTAGCTTTGGACAGATTCAGCCTATTTTTGCAGCTGCAGAGTTGTGTTTAATTAGGATTGTGCACTATTATTCATTGGTGCAGTTTGTAGTTGAAATTATTCTTAAGAGACATTTTCATTTCTAGTTTTCTGTCATGATTAATTTATGGCGAAGAAACAGCCTTAGCTATTGCTTTACACAGAAGCTTGTTCAGTATGAAACAGGAATAAGATCTGTTGAGAAGGTGAAAGAAAGGAAAATCCTTTATTGTGACTTTCAGTTTTCATGTCGGGTTTTCAAATTGCATAAAGCATGACGTATATTTTCATGTGAGTGATTACATTAACGTGACTATTTTAATGAAAAAAGGGAAAGCCAACCTTTTATTTTATCTTAGATCATAGCAATTATGAAGCAGAACCTTTTGAAGTACATACAATAATGCTGGTTGCTGAACTCTTGGCATGTTCTCTGTAGCATCAACACAAATTCTTTAGCATGGTAAGAATGTAATACACGGTTTGAATTCCTCAGTTCTGCTTATTGGCAACGTTAATATTAGACTCCCACTTACACTTAGGCTTCCCTAAAGAAAACACAAACCTTTTTTTCCCCCACCAGTATCGAGTTTAAGAGGCAGGATTATCTCTATTTATGGAATAGTTATTCTAAATAGGTATCAGTGTTTTAATATGTTTCAAAGCACTTCAAAGCTTGTAATACTTTCATATTGAACTGTACATAATTAGATTAGTTGATCCTATATTAATTTTTTTTTTCCACTGTAGGATACTAAATCTGAACTCCCTCATTAATTGTGAGAAATTTAGCATTAGCTGTTAAATCCTATGTGAAACACAGGCTGCTACATAAAAACTACTGTTTAAATTGGAATTAACTTAATTATTTTTCTTTGCACTTGATATTTCCTTCACTGTAATATTCATGAAAGCATGTGACAGATTTGTAAATTTAACTGTTAGTCTCAGATTTCCAGACCCTTTAATCAGTATTTATTTGTCTGTAGAAACAGTACTAGCAAGTTAATGATTTGCTAATTTGAAAAATGCTCATGTGGTTTCCTATGTTAACTGATTTGTGCATTTTTAAAGAAATGGTATGAAATCAATTATTGTTAAAAAGCAATTAAGATGAAGATCTTATTCCTTAGTTTCTCAGCTATTTCAGTGTCGAGGATATTCTAAAGTTACTAAAACCTGGGAAAATAGCTAATATATTTTGACTCTCTTCTTTCGGGTTTATTAATGATTGTTTTAACAGTTGCAGTTAATCTTACCAGAAATTTTAAATACAGTGTATTCAGATTTTGAGTTGAAGTTGGTAATATTTTCATCTAAGTGCAGAAACTGTGGCAAAAGCTGTGCTTGCATATGAGATGACAGTAAGAGGCCATTACTGGGAAAAGACATTTAACATAAATCTATGCATTTATTCATTACACTTTTAAGTAATTTGAAGTATTTTGTTGAGCTATATCCTGTACTCGATGCCTAATATGAAAAGAAACATAATTATTTTAGATTTTTAGCCTGAACTGTAAAAGATTATTCAGATATTATCCATCCATCCAATAAACCTTTCAGGTTTAGAATGCTTTTTACATGAGTTCCTGAAAACATTTTCTGAAAGGTAAAATTTAAACAGTTTAAAAGCAATACAGCTTCAAACAAACAGCAAAAGGACTTATTTAGCAGAATTTCAAATAGATTTAAAAATTCTTATCTGTGTAGAAAACATCTTCTTGCAAGGAATGAGATTGGGTAAGCGTGATGGGCTCTCTCCTTTAAACATTTGCTTGTAACCTTCAGATTGATCATGGGAGTAAGAGTTTAAATAATTGAACTCTTATGCAAAATCAACATCAAAATACCAATAAAATCACTGCTTTCTTATGGCTGGAGAAAATGGTATTGTTTGACAAGTCTAAATGAATAGAATGGTGTCATACAACTTAACCCCGACCTTGTCGGGATTACTTTTTCTCAGTGTTTTGGATCTAGGTCTCCCAAACCTGTACTTCTTAGAGTATTTCTGTTAACTGCACGTGACTAATTTTTGTGTTTTGTAGTCAGGTGTGATGTGTTTAAAGGACTGTTTTGAGCTTGATTTTTTTTCACTTAGCACCAATTTTTTTTGTTTTTGTCTGCTCTTCTTGTTTCGTAGAAGAATGTCTTCCAAACAGGCTACCTCTCCATTTGCATGTGCAGCTGATGGAGAGGAAACAATGACCCAGGACTTGGCATCACGAGACAAGGAAGAGGGCAACAGCGATCAGCACGCGGCCTCTCATCTGCCTCTACACAATGTAATGCACAACAAACCTCACTCTGAGGAGCTACCAACTCTGGTCACGACCATCCAACAAGATCCTGAGTGGGATGGAGTAATCTCAGCCCAACACAGAATGGTGAGTTTCAGTCTTCTCGCTGTGGCTTTCCAAATTAGTATGGTAAAAGGCTGTTTGCTCCCATTTGGAAAGGTGTGTTCACGTGTAAAGCTTTTTAAATGTTAAAGTGTCAGTGTCAGCAGTAGATCAACATCATATGGTGTAATTGTAAATTACAATTGTATAATCTACTTAAGTATACAGGTCTTTATGAATGAGGTCATTTGATGAGTTCACCTTCTGAAAGGAAATGCATCTATTTATCATGTTTTCATTCACACCTTGATTTATGTCATAACCTTTCTAGCTCATATATTCAAGCATTAATTTCTGACAGGAGGACGTAGCTCACAACTGTTTGTCATCTGCAAAGTGTTGTGCTGAAGGAAGAAACTTTAATGTATTTTTTTACTTGTCTCTCAGAAATAGAACCCACAAAATCTAGAATATTCTATGTTTGCACCATAACAAAGAAGCTGGCATTTTAGGGGAAAGGTGCTTATGAGTGATTCTGTTATGCTCTGCTGCTCTAGATCACCAGTTTGTATACAGGTGACATTAGGAATGATCAGAATTATTATTTGTATTCTCTTCAGTAGCCTAGATAAAATTATTTTGTGGTTGTAACTTGTCTCTGCATCCCCAAAACTGCAATAAATGGGCAGACTGAATGAAGGCTGAAAGGGCATAGCATCTTAGGCAATTTATTTTCCTTGCATGTGTTCCGCAGAAACAGAATTAAGGTATGTGGAGCAGCCAGGTGTTCTGTAAATTTAGAACATCATAATTTCAGACTCTCCCTCAAGTGACTTTCACAGACTTTAAATTCAGACATTTAACTTAAAAAGAATAATCTGTCTTTTCATAAAATTTCTTCTGTATTTTTATAAAATATCTATGAGCAGATTCTTTTCAGCAAAAATTTTTTTCTTTTCTTTTTTTTTCCCAGTAAAAATCAGCAGCTTTCAATAAGGTTAAACATAACTGTGGATTTATTTTTTTACAGCACTAACAATAATGAACTTATTTCAAATTTGACTCGATTTAATAATTCTAATGCACTAATCAACATAGATACCAAAGGTCTTTGTGCATATTATGATGCCTGGAGTTAGTTAAATAATAACAGTACAATAAGATCTCTTTTGTTAATATAGTGCTGATTTTTTTTTTTCCTAAAATTGGATTGGTTCAAAAGATCAAACCAAAGCAGAAAAATGCTACCTAATCTGTACTGTACAATTTAACACAATGCAGAATTTTCTGTCAGGCCTAAAATATTCCTAAGTATTTGGGCGATTGTCACAAAGAAGGCAAGATTTCAACTGCAAAAATATCTTTAAAGAAAAATGATTATAGGTTAGTAATTTGGCAAGGTAGGTTGTAAGTTGTATATATATCTTGTATACAGATTCTGAGATGTAACCTCATTTTGGACAGAGTCACTCTTTTGACCGAGTTATGCAATAAGCGTATTAGAATAATTTTAACTTCTGTGTTGTCAGGAGGACAAGCTGGATACAGAAATAATGAGTACAGTTTGTTGATAGAAAAATTAAATCTGTGAGTTCATCAGCTACTTCTCTATTCATTGAGAGAGGCAGGTGAACTCTTGTAATTTTATTATTAGGAAACCAACAGCATTGACAAAATTACTCTGTGTCCTAGAGAGAAAGGAAATCCTAGGCTTCAGGAGTCATTCAATGCATTTTTTTTTTTTTTTTTTTGGTTCAGTGTGTTCCTTGGACCCAGAGTAAGCCAAAATGGTAGACTCTTTTGTAGAATGATCAGTTGTACTCGTGTGCATTGCTCTGAAGGGGGTTTGCAGTCGCAGTGACAGAGTGCGATCTCTGTTTTCTTTCCTAATGCTGAACTATCATGTCAACACTTGCTGTTCCTCTGGCCAGGCACGAATCAGTACTCAGCTTATCATGTTTCAGAACAGGTGCATAAACTTTGCTTGAGGGACTTAGCACACTGGTTTTCCTTTCTCCTTTTTCCAGTAAATATTCCATCATATATGTAGATGAATGTCCTGAAAATCATTAGGAGTTTCCAGAAGTCCCTTGGCTTAAATCTGGTGGTGGATATATGTTAGCCTTATCTAGGTAGCTTTCAGCTAAACCAAATAGATTCTTTTCTTTGCCCAGCTCAATGCTGGGTATATTTTGCAAGGCTTGGCTACCAGTACAGACTGAAGTTCTAGGGCATGCTGTTTCATTGCACTTAAAATTGAGATCTAAAATGTACAGAGCAAGGCCCCAGTGTATTTACAGCTGGGTGAGTTAGATGACCAGTTAGATCACCACAGTGAAGTGGTGAAATAATGTTTTTGTCCTTAAGGGAGTGTAATTTAGGGTACCTTGTTTGTTTGTTTGTTTTTTCGGGGGGGGGATATGATTTTTTTTCTCCCTTAACTATGTTCTTCATGAGCAAACATAGAAGCCTCAATTAATTGCAAAAAAGCTTTCCTGAAGTACTTAGTCTCCAAGCAGACACTGATATTGCTAAGAAAGAATTCAGAGGTGCCTGCAATTATCCTGATGAAAACATGTTCATACTCCTTAAAGGGAGGAGAGAAGTTTCTTTCCAAAAAGACAAATTCCAGAAGGTGAATTGGGCAATTCTGAGATTAGGTGCTGTGGTAGTGACAACTTTTCTACTTAATAAAACCAGATTCCCAGAAGGTAAGCACTTTCTGACCCTTTCCCAGACGGGTCCTTTAAAAGCTGATTTGAAGGATCACCTGTTCATACAATTTACACTGAAAGTAAAGACAGTAGTGCTGTCATTAAAATGCATCAACAATGTGTGTTGCCTGGTTAAAAGATAGTAAATTCAAAGAATGCCCTGTTGACATATGGGGAGGAAAAATTTTCTCTTTTATCTGGTATCTAATTAAGGGCAAAATGCTGCATCTTTGTGCCCCTAAAACTACTAAGGAGTTCACTGGAATTTGAGAGAGCAGTATGCATCATAACTTGTTATGAGGGGTGTACACATCTTAAGTTTATAAAAGATACAGTAAAAGGGCAATTTGACTGGAAAAAAAATTACAATTTTACCCAACATTTATGACATGTAACACTTCAAGTAAAGTAAGATACCTTTAAACTACATTGTGCATTATCATAAAAAAAACACACTGGCTAGAAATGTTTTCAAACTTTCACTCCCTTTTGATAGCAGGCATTGCTTTCCACTGAGTCCTTTGTGTATTCTGAATGTCTGGAAGCCAAAATATTTTGTTTTAACTCCCACTCTATAGTATTTCCCAGCTGTGTACTTATATGGTGTAATAAAAGGATTTAACAAATGGGAAATAGCAGCTGCATTTGGAAATTCCCTTTGTGCTCCCTCTTCATTTGACAGATTCAGCAATGTGTAACAACTGTAACGTCAGACCTGTAATGACTTATACTGCAAGTATCATATCACCAGCCAATTTGATGTTCCAGTGGGGAGAAGATAAAACAACCCAGAGATTTCTGTAAATTCATATTGCTGAGCTGAAAAGATTATACATATGTTTCTGACTGGAACTTAATATAGAAATACCTGGATATATGGGGTATTTTTGCTGATTGTAGCCCTACTGGAAAATAAAATCTATTTTAGGCTAAGGCCATATCAATTTGCTGCAGTAAACTGTAGGGAAGAGGGCAAAGTGGTACTAAGATAATGGTGAAAGTATCTTGCTTTCACCCATGGACAGTGAGTATCAGGCAAAAGATACGGTCACATTTTTAGATTGCATCCAAAACCTGTCTCTCTTAGGGCTAAAGACTGAGAGAGGATAAGTAGGGAAACCGAAAAATACCTAATTTTGCTAAATTTAATAGTAACTGAATTGTTGTGTCCCAGGAATGTGTTAGACAGTGTGTGCATACACTGAATGAGGGCATCCACATCTTTTTGCTCTACTGTTATTTGGAAGTGAGAGACTGTTACAGGGAACAACTGCAGCAATGCAAGTCTAAAGGATGGATGTTATTTCCCTGTGACTGACGGAAACCAAGCACATATACATATACAAATGCAATTAACTGCCTCCAGACCTATGCTGTGTTTCCCTGTACATTTTGTAACGTCATTCAGAGACACCTTGGATTTAGAAATTAATTGTATCTCATTGGATTTTATCTCAAATGGCAACATCGACATGTATTTCATAATTATGTCAGGTCTCCGTCTTATGTTGCCAAAAGAGTGAAAGACTCGCTACCTTTCCACTGTGGCTGCAAGTACAGCAGTACTGTGAGTAGATTTATAGATGCAGCAGAAAAATTGAAGATCTCTTAATACCACATGTATTTGTTCCTTTCAAAAGAATTTTAAATCACCAATTATCAAATTTAACTTTATATGGCTTTAGCAAAGTTACTGGTATCAGAAACACAGAAATAAGTGCTGTCCTGAAGGTCTTAATGTTTCGGTGCTTTCTGTCTCTACTTAAAGCAGGCACAACCCTGTTGCTCTCCCCTGCTCCTTGTTAATAACTTCTCATGTTGAAGGTTCTTCCTTTTAAGGAAAATAAACTCAGGTGTTTAGGGAAGATCATTGGAAAATGTTTACACACGCTAAACACCGTGAATTTGTTGTTATATAAATTCATGGCTTCAAATTCTCAAAAGTTATAGATACAATTACATGTTTTGAAATTTTATTTTTGCTTCCTTTATGGGCTGAATATGAACACATAAAATGCATCAAATATAAATGCCCTAAACTCTGGCAATTTTGTATCTGCTAAATTGCTCATGCAGCTGCTATTTACATGTACAAATCTGAGTTTTGTGATCATCGAAAGCAATTCTACTGTGCTTGTGATATTATTTCTGCATGCCAGGTAGTGCATCAGCATTTTTACCTAACTAAAGAGATAAATACCTTCATATATAATTGCATGGATACAAAGTTTTGACTGAAATTAAAGAGTGTGAAAAAGCAGATGGTATGATATTTTTCCATAAAATAAACTTCAGTGAGAAATATATTGCAGAAAAGTAGAATTAATTTTA